TTGCTTTTATGTTCTTATAGGGAAGTACTACATTCAATCAGAGTGGAAGTAACAGCAACAGAGCATTTAACTTAACAATCGAAAGTGACACAAATTTCAGAGTAAGTTACCTCTATTAAAATATGAATTAAAAGAAAATCTGGTCCCGACGGATGCATACATCGGACATTCTGTAATTAATTGCACGCTTTTTATTTTACCTGTATCTCACCACAGTTAAATAATATAACCTTGATGTTTTTTTTATTAAAGATTGACCATTAAATTCTTTGCAAACTTGATGAAATAGATCTGTTTGATTTATTTGACTAATTTCTTGAATGGCTAAAAGTGAAGATCTGCATGATGTTGCTATTTTCCAACATGAATATTTATTCTTTAGTCAAAAATAATTCATACATCTAATTTTTTCGATTAGGTTTTAGCACTATTATCATCTGTTCCATGTTTATTCCATAGATATATCTCTGTAAGTTTTAGCCACAAACAGTAAGAATTTATTGAGAAAACCATAAATATGTCTTATGTACTCTTTTGTGGCTGAAACAAAAATTTGTTAAAGATGAGAATAGCTAAAGCATCCAATTGCTGTCGAAGAATTGAAATTCATTTGGAAATGATATCGAAATAAGCATTACAATAAATTTTGGTTCCAGACGTACAAGAGTACACAAGACATATTTGTAGTTTTCTCATTCCGTTCTTGCCGGTTATAGAGGAACTCAAAAAATACATAGAGCAACAAGACGTGTATTTATGATATACATATAAGACTAGATGAAAATAGTGCGAGAAAGTAATTTCACTTTTGTCCATTTCAGAAATTGTTCAAACAAATCAAAGAGATCTTTTCACCAGTTTTTTTTGTAAAGAATTTAATGGTGCATCTTTTTGAAAAAAAAACATCAAGGCTATATCATTTAACTGTATTGAGATACAAGCAAAATAAAAAGCGTGCAATGATTATGCGACATCGAGAGTTCTACGAAAAGCAAACTTTATCTTGGTTTACTTTTCTATCAGACAAGACAGACTCCTCTAAGTTCTTTTAGCCCTTCATGCCTCTTATATCCTTTTAGTCGCTGTATAAGGTGAAGTTAAGAGCAGGGGTAAGGGTGAAGCAGAGACAGCTATCATAACTGTTACTACCTCCGCCCCCTCCCCTCATTCACACCATAACTCTTTAAAAGAACCAAAGGCATTAGAAGAAGATGAGGAATTCAAGAAACTGGAATAACATAAGGGACTAAATAAAGGGTGTACGGCCTAAGGAAAAAGTTAACAGGGATAACTTTTTTCTTCGTTGATTTATGTGTATACGAGATGAAGAACTGTACAAGAAACCCTGTACATTGAGTACTACATTATTTCCATATTCGACTGTCCTAAGAAGCATAAATTTTGACCAGATAATACCAAAACTGTTAGTGAATACAGACTGATATGCATCGATGCAAAGTCTTACATCTTCCAGTTTTGTCACAACTGCAAGACATCTAGGTCGTCGAAGTCATGATTCTAAAATCATGGATGTTCCGTGCTAGCGCATATCCACCACATAAAAAAATATTTTTTTTTAATGAAAAATCAATCAGCATTTGATATATTTATTGTTAAAAGAAGAATATTTTTATAGAAAAACGCTTGGTCTTCAGGAAGTGATGGAAAGACTCAAAGTAATCATTACAACACAGCAGATTGGATGGCAATTACGGGAGAGAAGAAGAAGAAAAAGAATTATTCGAAAAGATTAAAGTAATACATATATATTATAATATCACTGATGTGATCGATAGATATTTATTATAAGTATTGTATTTCTATACGTAGACGTGGCGCTAGAATATGCTGTTGTCATCCATGCATCTGTTGCTTTATAACAGCTATTAGTACTGTCTTACTGCTTTCTGCCATTGCTATGGCTTTGGTTTTTACTATAATGAACCAGAATATAATCACAACAACAATCTCAAGTAAGTAAAACAGACTGAGTCGTATTACTGGATATTTGCTGAAGGAAAAAGATGAAATAAATCTTATTCCATTCATTTTTACTAAATCAAAAATCTCCTCAGACACACTTACATCTTCATGCATTTCACTTACACATACACGCATAACAACTAAGCTATATAACGAACCAACTAGATGAAAGAAAACGCGAGTATATATATTGATCCCATCCATCTAGGGCTAACGAAAGAGAATCGAATACAACAAAGAGATGATCTTGCAAAAAGAAAGGAATAATATCATATCTAGGTAAATGGAAAGAAGAAAAACACAATGTGAAGGCGAAGCCTGTAACAACATTAGTAATTTTTTGTGATTTTTAGCAATACTCTGAACGACTACGACATCAACCACAGCTTTTAAGTTCACATCTATGAATATTCTAACATTAATATGTAAATTAATAATTATTTTTGATTTCAAAATGATGAGTTTCTATCAGTTTTTGATGTTTGATACTTAAAATATGACATGCGCTTATACTTACAATAGTATATCGATCATTTTCTACAGAAAGCATTAAGATTAGTGACACAACACTTCCAGAAAAAAAATGACTAATTTATTTCTTGAGAATCTGGTTTTTAGTATACTTTGTTGATAACGCTTGATAAATGGGACATTTACTTGGTAAAATAAAACTTTTTGATGATTTTTGACTATGAGTGACGCCCGTAAATAATTCTTCATCGTCTAATCTATGAATACTGTGCACTATTAAAATTTAGCTTCTACCAGCATCACCACTACAACGGAAACTACTACATCGGTATCTACCAGCACAAGTTCAAGTAAGGGTTTCTGATGTACACACTAAGGAGAAGATCATTGATTTCGATGAAAGATATATGAAAAATCATTGAATCTATCAAAAATTTCGACATGCATTTTTCTTAAAATGTCTAGACTTCATCGAAATATTTTAACAAGATATCTAAAAACAGATCCAAATACTAGTCAATACAACATTTTTCGTCTGTTGTTGCATAAAAATAATTTATACTCTGTACAAGTGCAGAAGTTGGATATTGAGTTTTTGAAATATATTAACTGCCGAATGAATTAGTTTCAAATAAGAAAAATAAAACGCTTCGGGTGTCCTATAATAATTCCATGCTTTTTATTTTGCCTGTATCTCATCACAGTTAAATGATATAACCTTAATGTTTTTTTTTAAAGACTCCCCATTAAATTCTCTACGAAAACTGATAAAACAGATCTCTTTGATTTGTTTGAATAATTTCTTACATGTCTAAAAGTAAATATATGCGTGATGTTGTTGTTATCGAATATAAATATTTATTGTCCTAGTCAAAAGTAATCGATACACATCTAATTTTTTCGATTAATTTTTGGCTCTATTATCATCTGTTTCATGTTTATATTATAGATACATCTCTTGTTGTTCGGTTTACTATCTGAGTTTCAGTCATAAACAGCAAGACTTTATTGAGAAAACTACAAATGTGTCTTACATGCGATTGTGTGAGTGAAACCAAAATTTGTTAAGATGAGAATAACTAAAGCATCTAATCACTGTCAAAGAATTCAAATTTAGCTAGAAATGATATCGAAATAAGAATTACAATTAATTTTGGTTTTAATCACACAAGAGGATGTAAGACACATCTGTTATTTTCTTAATGAATGGCAATAGTGCCAAAAAAAGTAATCGAAAAAATTAGATATATCGATTGTTTTTGATTAGGAAACAAATATTTATATTGAGAAATAACAACATCCCGCAGATTTTCACTTTTAGCTATTTAAGAAATTATTCAAACAAATCAAGGAGATCTTTGTCATCAAGGTTTGTGCATCATTTAACTGTAGTGAGATACATGCAAAATAAAAAGCGTGCTATTATTATGAGACACCCAATAACCGAGCTAGCGGTTCTTAAAATTAAAATATTCTGGATAACAATTCTCAAAGGTTTTGATAACAATTTTAGAAGTCTTCAGTTATTCCAACTCATGTTCATGGATAAAAACTATATGAGTTTTCTTGTATTCTACTAGTAATCTATAGTTTTGTGCAAAACCGATATATAAACCTTTTTTTGCGATCTAGTCGAAAAGTATGATGTTTATCGAATGAGTTTTGATAATTATTTTTTCTTCAACAAATGATGTTGATGTTTATGTGTCTTATCTTATAGCAACACAAACGACGACAACAACAACTGCAGTACCAGTTTTTCTGTTAAATCCTGGAGGAGAGTCTGGTACTTTAAGTCCATGGAGTTCTAGCAGCAGTTCTTCGCCCATACTTGATAGTGGAACAGCCAACGCTGGTAGTACTCCTCCGTACAATGGTTCCTATGATTTTTATGGAGAATTTGGTGGATCTTTGAGTCAACAAGTATCTTTAACAAGCATATTTTCAACTGCACAACTTGATTCAGGTGCATTGTATGCATCGGTTTCATTTCGGGAGAAGAGCGTAAACACATACCCACCTGATACTGCTCAAGTAACTCTCATTTTTCTTTCGGCTACAAATAGTACTATATCTAATGTAACTACTGGTCCAATAGCATGTGTATCAGCTTGGTGCCTTGTACAAAGTAATTGGTCTCTTCCTGTAGGCACGCGGACAATCGACTATGTAATGACATTTGTTCTCCAATATGGAGGTCACGCCGACGCATGGATTGACGACAATTCACTCAACGTGAGTTGAGCAAGACTAAAACACAAGAAAAAAAACTGCTGCCTGTGATTTGAGTGACATTTTTAAATATGTATATATTGATTCTTTATGACCATAATTATAATGATTTTCTATTAAAATTTTTACATACAATAGTCAAAGTTATTGAATTTAGGTTTTGTTATTATTCGAAGACAATGATGACATTTGCTTTCTTTGAAAAAGTCACTAAAATAAATTTCGAATTTTTTTCAGTCGTTCCATCACGTTGTTCTAATGAGTGTTGGACGAACTGCAATATCTCTCATCATTTATGAAAATAATGGATTGCTTTGTGCCTTTTCTTAAGTTCTATGAGAGACTTAGTGAGAATGTAGCTTTCACAGGTTTTGCCGTTGCAGTACTTCTTCACATGTTTGTTCTTAAAAAACACATGAAAGTGTCCCACATAACAAATTTTTGAAGCGTTGATGAACGTTCAAAGTTGTTACATAATCCGTTCTGAATGGTATCTGCAATGGTTTATAAAAATTTCATATTTACTTCAAGAGTTCTTTATTTGACGATTATATATATATATGTTACATGAAAAAGCGTCTTACCCCCAATTAATCAAGAACAGTACATAGTTTTTAATAGCAAAGCATTAATAAATCTATTTTGAATTTTCGACTTTATAATAGGCGTTGCACAACAAGAAGTCATACAGATAAAATAGTTTCGGATGTTCGATGCAAAAGTGAGGTCAAAAATTCAAATACACTTATTACATAAAATTGGTTGATTTAATGTATAATTATTCTCAATAATTGAGTTATGTAATATAGGTTGGAATCGAAATACACCTAAGCAAATGAATTCGTCTGATAAATATAAGAAATGGGAAATTCGTATGATGAAATCTTTGTTGGTATGTTAACTGACAAACGGATAATTTAACTCAAAAAGACTATCATATACAGAATGAATGAAAACACTATAGCACAAAACAATATGTCCTGGAAACAAAAAATGTACACTTTCTTGCTCGCATTCTTTTTCATTTTCTCTCCATTACAATACGAGCAGCAATGGAAAAAACACACGAAGAAAATTTCTGATTTCTTTTTTTTAAAATTACTTTGAAGTTATCTCCACACACGATGCAAGTTATACAGTATTGCGACATTTTATTTTTCTATTTAGAAGAAAGGTAAATCAGAATTTCTTTAGAAAAACTTCGAAAAAAATATTATTTACATTCATCACAAAACTAAAGAAAAATTAAAATGGCTATCACTACTACTTCTATTCGAATTCAACGTCCATGTTATTCTCAATGATATTGTAGTTCTGCTAATAATGTACGGTCATATGAAGAATTTAATGAACAATCGATCAAGTATATGGATGTTGAAAATGAAATTATTGAAGATGCTAAAAAAGAAAAGAGATCACAAGTTGAACAAGATGATAATCGTATTGTTTGCTTAAAATATGATGTTCATTATAATAAGCTTGATGAACAGAAACAACGACTAATAAGACATGAAAGTCATCGTAGCAGTAACACCCACCTAGGAGAACATCGATTTTTACTACCTATAGCATTGTCGTCGATACCATCTTCTACGACCGATACTGAAGACTACTTTATTCGTCTCATTGAATCAATCGATGGTTCTGATTTTCTTCGAACCCATTTTAATTATGAATTAAAAGGATTAATAAAAATGCATGCTGATATTATTGAAGAAGCTGCTAATGGAATTTTAAGAGAAGATACCACTCTTAATAAGATATATGAAGCAAAAAGTGAACATGAACACTTACATCCTGTTAGACCGTTTGCACTTGTTAATAGTATTAAAGAAGACACTTGTTCTATTAGACTTTCAAATGAAAATGGTCAGACATGTGTCTTCCTATGTGAAAAGAATGTTTTTGGTGCAAACTAATTAACTTCGTTCTTCATAATTCTTTAAGTATTACACATAAACCGATAAAAACTTTATATTCATTCTGTTTTCTATTAACAGAATCTTTAAGTCAAAACCAAATAGGATGAAGTTTCTTTCATGTTTATCGTGATGTTAGACTAACGGATGAACAACGTGAAGAATATATGAAAAAAGATAAAGTATTTTATTTCTCGTCATTTATTTCAACAAGTAAAGATAGTGACAAAGCAAAACAATTTGATAATACGCTATTCATTATATGTTTAGATGAATATCTTATGATTTTATCAGGTGTATATTTATTGTACATATCTTTAGAGTGAAGAGTGAGATCAACTACCACAATAATGGTATATTTCATAGTTGCTGATAAAGGTTGTGGGTAATGTCTTTGTATTCTTACATATTCACATCCATTTGTGCACTTGAGTTCCATCATTATCTATTCGTTTCAACCCCGCTTGATCAAACTTTGTGTCCTTTGGCATAAGGTTCTATTTTCAAATGAACACCATTGAAAACAAATCAAAATCAAAAGATAATTCTACACTCTTAATAAAAGCAAGTATTTAATCTATAATAATTGTCACATAATCTTTTGTAGAAGTCAATATAAAGCCTTTCACATTAGTCATCTTTAACAAGACAATTCAAATAAAAAAGAGTCAATCCTAACAATAAATGTGTCGGTGAACATGAATAAAATATGAATATAATGTCACTAGCTCCTGTTCTTTTCTTACTGTGGAAACTATGGCAATCTGTAAAGAAGCATGTGTGATTTGCCTTGTTAAAATTTATTTCATTTAAAAAGAATGTAGACTTTGTCGAATATATAGGAAATATAGGACGACTACGAAGTTTGAATTGAACTAGTAAGCTGTCATTAATACCGACCATTGAGAAAGGTGTACACAGCGTTCAGTACTCTTTTGGAAAACTGAAATGATTAAAAGCGAGAAAATCATTGTCAACATCAGTATTATGAACATGCTTTTTCGCCTATACTTTTTTTGCATCTCGCCTGGCTTTTCCTCTATTCGCTGTTCTGTGAAAAATTTATCAAGATATCTTGAGACAATAGTTTCGACTCTGAATGAGATTGGTGCACTGGTGTTCCTATGTGTCAAAACAGAATTTGTTCTCGATGATAAATGAAGAACCATTCGATTTTTTCTATTATTGTGGGACGATTTCAAAAAAATCAAGGAGATTATCTTGATCATTTCTTTCGAATGTGAAGAGTGAAAAAATTGAAAGAGATACATGAGTTTCTTCTTCTTAAGTGGATTGATATTGTTGGCTAAACGCCTCCATATGCATCTATGTGCCTCTTTTTATCTTCCATTCTCGTCGTTTTTTTTTCTTTTGATTCGTTTATCTTTATTCCTTTTCCCATATTCTTTCTGTCTTGTTTTCATACTCTTTTCTTCTTCTTTATATTGCTTTTTTGTCAGTTTTTGTTATCTTTCTTGTTCATGTTGTCCAAAGTGTCACATTGTAGACTAGTGTCATATCGATGAAACTGTGCTCACATTGCCTACGTTCGTCCTGTTGTGATTTTTAAGTATCTTTATATGTCCTCATAGAAGTGCTTGTGAGCGTAACAATAAACAGTCCAAACCAAAAAAAAATAGAATAACTGCCACAATGCAATAGATGATTCATATAATTTGTTATCGTAGCAGAGTAGAATGTATATATAGTGTTGGATATTCGTAATCATACAAATATGCATAGTAACTAAAACCAACTGATGATTCCTTTAGTCGTGATGAAATCTCGATTTTGGCAGCTGTATCACACTATAAACTCACATCCTCAAGATGAAAAGATGCTACTTATATTTTATTTTATTTTAAATCAAATATAAATAAGAGAAACATAATACCGTTACTTACGTGCCTACTTTAAAGTGTATACTGTGAACGGATAAAGCGTGCATGTAGTAATATAGGATAGAGCATCATTAACAACTCGATAGCGTTATTTTTTTTTTCGTTGCACTTGGATAAATAAGCAAATATTGCTGCAGTGATATTTACAGTTAAATATCATCACACCACCAAAAGTAACTACCACTTTCAATACATATGAAAAAAATGTGCGCAAATACAGGTAAGTATTGTGTTGGCTAGCGATCGTATCAGATCAAGAGCTACTTTTTTCGCTTTAGAGAGTCCTAATCTCTTGTGGAAAATAATCTCGTCGAGCGAAGAGTTTCCATCTGATGTTGTTCTTGTTGATGCCAGTGATGATGGTTCATCACCGATGAAACAAATGAATATTGGTCTGGTCGATTTACAAGGGTGTGGTAGTCATGATCCTTATGGCTCTTTAGTACCTGGTTATGTAAAACACCATAGTGTAGACAGTTAAGACAAGTGCATAACAGCTATTTTCTACTCTCAATATCCTCAAGCAATCAAAGCAGATGTCGGCAAGTGTAAACTAGCAATACTAACGAATCCAACTGGCTTAAAATTAGTGTGGCTACCGAGTAAAAAAGGACAGATACCAGACAATGTATTTGAAACTAAATATTGGGATGACGATCCGGTAGAGGTCTACATTGGGTGTACAACTGATAGTAAAATTATTGGCCATGTGCTTCCATGTCGCAAATATTTATCTTTCCCAAATTTTGAAAGCAATACGGAAGAAACGAGAGATGAAGGGTGTGGGTGTGTGACTGCCATCTTTGTTTATATTCACACCCACACCCACACCCCACACCCATACCCACCCACACCCACCCACACCCACACCCACACCCACACCCACCTACACCCTGATGCAAATATAGCAGCAAATAGCACAGATGCGTTTGTTTTGTGGGAAAAAAATGTCTCATCAGAATATACTAATGATATAATTAAAAGAACTAAAATATGTATCAGTTGTTGTAATGTTCTTTTTAGTCAATATATGAAGGTGCTTGGTTCATGTTCTTTCACGTTATTTGAATATGTCCAACATCATACAAGAAATATAAGCATGCAGCTTTGTCTGTTCACTTTCATTAACTACTCACGCGAGTAAGTGTCTTGCAAAAACGCTGAAATATACCACGCGCAATAAAAGCAAGTGGAAAAATCAAAAAATGAAGTGAACTTCATTTCGAATTGAGCCAAAATGCATCTATGAAGTCACACATTGAATGAAAGAATAATGTGTACTAATATTACTGTTTATCTAAGAGAATGCAATTGAAGCTCTTCTAACACGAACAACGAATATTTCAAACTGTTCTCGCTCTTCTTGCAGAATAATTTGACAACAAGATTTTCTTCGTTATCACATCTGATGAGTTAAACTCTGAGTTCATTTCTAGCTGGAAACTCAAGCTAGACTTCTTTCGAGATAGTACTGGTTTCATCAACGAAATTTTTTTCCTTGGAAGGTTTCTGTTATATTTTGAACTTAATTGCTAATTCATTGAGAGCCATTAATGTCGTTCTCAAACAATCTTTTCCATCGGATGTCAACAGACACATTGCTCATATCGATTTTTAATTCAAAACTTTTATATAAGCTAATTGAATGATTTGGCTCAATTATTCAAGTGAATGTAATTTGTTTGTTTTTCGTAATGATAGAAAATTGCGATACAGCTATCTACTGAATTAAAAAGCATGAAATGGATAATGCTTTCTTATTTTACAAATAAAACAAACCTTTTGCATACTCAATTAACTGATATCTCGCATGTTTACTCAAATAGAGTGTCCCAACACCTGATCAGGCTCTCGCTTCAGGTTTATTCGTCAATCTTTAAAAGCAGTGACATAGTAAGCGTTGTGCGGTTAATTATGAGTTGCGAAGTCTAAGTTCGAAGAAATCTTGTTCCTCTCGGTCAATCACAACTTTTCGATCTGAAATTCGCAGCAGTATCTTGATAAAAGATTGCAAGTAAAAAGAAACTAATTTCTATTTGGACTGACAAAGAAAATCAAGTATATTTTTAAAATGCTGAAAAAATCGTGTACAACATACTTTGACATAAAGTCAAAATGATTTCCGTTCGATAGTTATCCGTAGGACTTTTGAAATCTTCTTTTTAGTTAACTTTTCTGTAGAAACTGGTCCACAATCTCCAAAACTTGATCAGCTGTTTCCTTCACTGTCATCTTCGTATTATCTAGTCTGACTTCATTCCTATACAATTGTCTCATTTTCAAAACTCCATTCCATTCAATAGCACGTTCAAAATTACGAAATCCACTATCTCGCGTTGGTTCCAGAACACGTTGTTTCAAAACTTGATCGTCGCTCACAGTCAGAGTCACAATTAGATATTTGAATTCGTCGTGCGATAAATAGTTTGGTAATTGCTGTATTTTCGCATCTGTTAGATCATTAATTAGAACGTTCTTATATCCATGTCGATAATAATTCTTTAGAATGAACACTAAGTTCTCGAAAGACATTTGTTCTTCTTCAGCTGAGACGTTTGACCATTCTCTATCCAAGTGAAAGACACGAAGACATCCAAAATCAATCGAAGGCCATGATTTATTCCGCTGAATGAGTTCACAAACAGAAGATTTGCCAGCACCAGGAGAACCGTTGATGAAAATAAAGTCGACCATGATCTAGGGAGCAAAGTTCTTTGTCGAATTGCGCAATTTGAAGAATGAATACTGCGCCTTTTACAACCAATGACGTCAGAATATTGTGAAAGTTGAAAAACTCACTTATAAATGCAGGCTATTTGAGTGAGCAGTATATTTCTGCGTGCGAAAACCAATCTGCATACATTCATAACTGCGTCAAAAGAAAAAAAGCATACATCACAGAAAAGAAGAAAAGATAAGAATAGAAAAGAAACTTCTCACAGGTGAAGTTAAAGATGAGTCAAAAGAAGTGAAAGTTAAGTTACTTACTTTCAAAGAACTACAAATATATGACATCCACCGGTGTGCTTAAACCATGGACCATAAGGGTGTGGGTATTAGTGGGTGATGCAGTTAAACCCAGATAAAATCCACAGCCAAAGTCACGCTCACATTCCACTCAAAACTTTGTCGTCAACAACATTTTAAGAAGAAACTAAATTTTTATTATGGACATTGTTTCGCAAAATTAATCAATGAATTAAATAAACATTTATTCGAATATAACAAACAAGGGTTCAAATATGGGAAAAAAATCTAAAATTGATTCAATCTATAAATAGGATGGTAATGAAAAACAAACAAAAAAAATATATATGAAGTACAATTCGATAAAAATAATGAAACATATTCAAATTATCTATTATTGTCAATCGTGTTTGTCGAATATGTGTCATGAAAAAAACGTTGAAGTAATCTAAGTTCCATTGCAAGTTAAAGAATTTTAAAAAACACAATCAAGATGTCAGAAGTCAATTAATTTATCGTTTACTATATCAACAAATCAATATCATCCAAATGATGAAAGCGTATATTTTGATAGAAGGAATATCATATTTTCAGAAATTCATTTTTTTTTACTATCATTCCATGTTAGGCATGAAAATTCAAGCGAGTGTAGCTCATCTTCATTATTGTACATAAATGTAAGGCAATACCATATGCATGGATATAAAAGTTTTTAACAGAAACATGCGAAACTGTTCATGATTCTTGTGTTTGTCTATAATTGTATAGAACACTCTTGAATATTCATGTAAGACATATGACTTGCATGTAAATGCCAATTTTTTACTGGCATATACCTGAAAAATGACTAAAACTATGCTTAATTAAGCATATAAATGCAAGCAGATCATAGAATCGATGCTACGACGATATGCAAATTTCTGTCATTTAAGAGTGTACACATTGTTCTTTGTCTGCAGTTAGATGTTTTCTTCGTCATATAGTTATTTCTTTCTCACTGAAATCAAATTGCTCCAATCTTTACATGAAAAACGTGAAAGCTTATAAGATGCGCGTAAATACATATCGACTCGTTGTGAAAAACCATGCATACAATTTTCTACATCTGTTTTATTAAAATATTCACTTCCTGCGACGACATAGGAATGCTATTGTAGAGAACCCATGTGTTTTTGTGCAAGACAATTTCAGATTGATAAAAACGAGAAGCATATACCCATAAACATACACGAAGATACAATAGCTGTTTTTCAGAAATAATAGTCGAATACAATACTCTGTTATATAAAATGATCTTCTTTGCAATTCAATTATCTACTTGGATTAGAACTGCAATCAAAACTGAATAATATAACGATCATTTTTTAATATTAGGTACGTCTGAACATGAATAGTAATAGTTAGAGTGTGGGTGAAAGGATGTGGGTGTGCGTGTATGGATGTTAATCTTCCTTTTATTCACATTCACATCCACACGCACACACACCCACACCAACACCCACACACCCACCCACACGCCAACACCCACACCCCCACCCACACCCACCCACACGCCCGCACCCACACCCGCCCACACCCACACCCATACACCAACACCCGCCATCCACACCCACACCCACACCAACACCCACCCACACGCCCGCCACCCACACCCACACCAACACCCTAAACAATATGCATCACTCAATGTAAGTTGCTTATGTTTTGTGAAGATGACTCGAATTTTCCACAAAACACGTATAAAAGATTTATATCTTCATACATCTAACATACTTCTTGTTAGGTTATGTTTTGCACTTGGAGTTCGATTTGAATAAATGTTGACCTTTCTTCTATTTTATTAAAGAAAAAGTGTCCCCGTACAATAGTTATGCACGCACATATATAATATCAAAAATGAAGAAAGAAAAAGGAGAAGAAAGACCACGAACAAAAGTAACATGAAAGAAAAAACATAGAGAAAGATGTCACTCCTAACACTTCTGCACACGATTATACGTTTACCATCCGCCAATCACGTTTTAACTATTACAACTGTGAAACTTGTTCCTGTTGCAGGTGCATGTGGGCACCGTTTAAGGGACACAACCGTTTAAGGGAAAATATAAGCACCATTATAGAGGCACATGGAATCATTTAATGGCGACCGATTTAGCACAAAAATCTAGCCATAAATAGAATATATGGACTTTTGAAAAATAAAATTATGTATTATTACTTCTATTTTTATCATAATATATTCATTTTTGAGATTTTTAAGATCACATTTAAATGTTCAACTTATGCTACCAATTTACTCCTGTATTTTGATTGAGATATTTGTTTAGTGCCGAATTCAAGTCATGCTATGAGATAAGTCGACTTGTCTCATGAGATAACTCGAAATATTAATAACTTGCCAAAACCTACGATGCGACTTATCTCATAGGACAAGTCGAGTTATCTCATAGGATAAGTCGAAATAATACCTAACCGAATAAAAATGCTTCAGTTCAAAGAAGCGACTTATCCTATGAGACAAGTCGACTTACCCTATAGCATAAGTGAAAATAATAAGTGAACCAGTATCAATGTCTCAATTGAAAATATTGACTAATCCTATAGGGTAAGTCGACTTGTCTCATAATATAATCCGCAATTTTGGCAAAATGGAACATCTCGATGACAATCTGCATCTATTTAAATTTATAAAAAAATTCTGTACTAAATTATTTTTTTCAATTATTGATATATTTTAATAAGTATTATAATACAACACGATGTGTTCCAAGTCATGTAACCAATCAGATTAAACATGTGTGCCTCTATAATGGTGCTTATATTTTCCCTTAAACGGTTGTGTCCCTTAAACGGTGCCCACAGGTGCATCTAGATGCGTTTTTGAAACGCGAGTAAACCCGATCAGTACTTCAAACGCGTTTAGTAGCGTTTTGTACTAAAAACAAGTAAACGCGTTTTGATTTTGGTTGCGTCTAAACGCGATCATTGGTACAAACGCGTTCAGACGCATCTATGAAACGAGTCTAAGCGCGATCATAGGTGCAAGTGCGTTCAGGCGCGTCTCATAGATGCGTCTGAACGCGTTGCATCCGAGGTTTTAACCGTAACAGCGTCTGAACGCGTTTATAAACGCGTTTAAACGCGTGTAGTCTGCGTTTGGCTTTCACATGGGATAAATACCTGCTCTTGCAGACGATGGTGCACAATGAGCAGGTAATAATGCATAGTCATAAAGTTTTGGAAATAATTTGACAAAATCAGGCTTATCGAGTGCTCTGTTTCGTGATGATTTGTTAAATTCCCATAACAATGATCTCCATTGAGTTTTCACGTACTTAAGTGTAAATATGTCCAATGGTTGGAGGATATGGGTAGAATGTGGTGGTAAACATAATATATGAATCTCATGTTGAATGGCTAGCTTAGCCGTGTTGATTGATAAATGTGTAGAATGATTATCGATTATTAATAATAATGGGCGTGGAAGATGACCAGTTTTTGGAATGAATAACTTCGAAAGATAGCCGTAAAAAAGCAATTTTCATCGGTCCATCCTGATTCAGTACCATTGAAGACTGCACCAGGTATAACATTTTTCGGACACCATTTATCATATAATCTTAATGATTTGTATATAATATAAGGAGGAAGACATGTGCCATCAGCACCAATAGTCAATAAAACGGTTGTATTGGCTTTTCCACTGCCTCCATGTACCCTAAAAGTTTAAAGTAGTAATACTAAGAAAATGAAAAATTGAAACAACAAAGTGGATACAATTTTACATAGGTGTTTGCAATTACCCCACTCATTCTGTATGTTTATGCAATTACCCCATGTGGGGTAATTGCATAAAACTTGTAGGAGCTACCAGAAAAAAAGTGATTGAACAACTTCGAGCAATTAATTCTTGATAATTTTTAGATGAACTTGTAGAGCTGAAATTTCTCTACACGTCTGAAGAAAAAGTAGAAAAAAATTCCAAAAAATGACTGAGTTATGATAGGTACAAGTGCAAAGACTGATTTTTTTTATGCAATTACCCCACTCTACTCTAATAAATTTTCATTTTAACGATTCTTTCTTTTCGATTACATATCTAAATTAGAATGGATTAGGAATACAAGTAACGCAATATCTATAATGTCTGAATTTATTAACAAGGTCACATGTGAAATTCTATCGAACCAGTATAGTTTTTAATAAATAAATGAATAGAAAAAACTATCGTTTGAATAAAGGATATATCAATGAAAATTTATTAAAAGGAACCATCTATCTCAAACTGTGGTAGTCTGACTATTCTGCAATAGTACCTCTTTATTATATTTTTTAATTGTTTCTTCAATTGTCTCTTTATTAATAGATTGTAAACGACCAATTTCTGTTTCATATTGAAAAAAGAGAAATGTGGGCTTATCATCAATTCAATATTTGAGAACGTCACTCTATAAAAAGAAAAAGAAAATATTTACTATTTTGAAATAAAAATTAATAAAGTTTTACCGAACATTTTTCAATATTAGCTTTAAGAAAAAGAACATTTGAATATTGAACACTTAAACAATCCATATATGAAGTGATATCTTGATATGAATTACACCTAAAAGAAATCATTTATTTAATGATTAAAGAAAAGAACAGCATCTTTCAAACCATGTAGCAATAAAGTTAACTACGATAAGTCGATCGTCAGATAATACTAATATATCATCAAGCTCATTATTTGAAATTTCTTGAGTAAATGAAATGGATCCGATGTTGCTAAAAAAAAGAAAAAGAAAAATCTTCAGAGAAAATCAATTGTTTATTATTTTCTCCCATTTATTTCTATGAAAGTTATTTTAGAAAGAAATAAAACGTACGAGATAAAATCTTAAGAGAAGATCCGCTAGAAGACTGACTAAACTTATATAGAATCAATCACTGACAATTTTTCTTGGACTTTTTTCAGCTCAAACAATGGATTATATCGAGAAACTTCTAAATCCAAAGCATTAGACTTTTTCGACGTACCTCTGAAAATGCTGAAGGACACAATCTTTCGATTTTTGGGGATAGACCTATTTCTTTTTTTTTTTTACATTTTGATAGTATTTTGAGATTTTCTGTCTCTGTTCGTCACTTAGAGTCTGGGCAGGTCTCAAAAAATGCATAAAAGATTTCTCTTCTAAATCGTTTATGTCAATGGTTATAAAAATGACTTTTAGTAAGCAATTGTCCCTCCACAAGAGAAGGGGATTTGGTACAGTCACGTATGTTAATTTCGATGAAATTCTAAACAAGTATCTTTGTGTGCTAAACATTTTCAAACAGCAAAACATCTAAAAACATTTAATATATTTTAGCAGTTTTATAAACTCTAAAACTGGACCTTATGACACTCACAAAACTTATTTAAACATGTTTTTTTAAATAAATATATACGGAAACGGTATTTTATTATTTTAAAGATTGTTTCGGATGTATCCAACTTTGTTCACGAAAATTCATTCTTCCATTGTCAACATTGTCAATTGAACTAATTTTTCATTCGTATGGATAGTATGGACAATAAATAAAATGAGTTTGGGATGTAAGTTATCTCAACCTGCTTAACATATCCTCTATCTAGACTTAGTCATTCACATGCATCATCAGAAGAAGAATTTAAATCGACTTTTCATACGTACCTCGATGAATTACCCAATAATCTAACATTGATCTTTTTTTCAATATAATCTTAAAAAAACAAACGAAATTTTTTTAGTTAATTGAGACTTTAGATAGTAAAGACTAGAATATTCTTTGATGAAATACTATTTAAAACCTTTCCACAAGCAATTGTAGTTTCTCTCGCCAAAAATTTCTTACAGTTATCTAAATATAACTCGAATAACTCAAGCAACATAATTTACACATTTCTGCTCTATTTCTAAATCAAAGAACGATAATAAAAAATACCAAACTTTAGAACATTATTATCTCTCCCTTATAAACTAAAGATAAAAAAACATAGTGAAAAACAATTTAAAACTTATTTTCTCTTACAATATATAACACCTTTGGAACTAAAGAAAAACAATACAATCTTTTACCTAATGTGTTATGAAATTCTTCCCATTCTATCGACTTTGGATCCATCTGACTTTTCGCCAAATCAATGTTGTTATGTTGCATTTTCCATTTATATTCTTGTTGATCTCTATCATTTAAATCAATATACAGGTATGCTAGTGTACAATCCCAGTTCAAATTAACCCATTCGATACCCAAATTAGTATAATGTGTTTTACAATCATATCGAATAAATACTGCTGGTGGTTCACAAACTTTTTCATCTGCACATCCTAAAATCCAACAAAACAATAGATAAAATATATATTTACCGATACCTCCGCATCCATATGTGGCGAAACCATCATGCTCAAGTGATATAAATTGAGATACAGATATATCATTGCTTCTATACCTAAATCTAATTTTGCTCAGTCGATACAGATTAAAATATAACAATATCATTATTTCTATATCTAGGATGGAGAAATCTAAGTCTTGTTTTGAAAATCTCAGTCGATTTAAATTATGATATAAATATATCATTACTTCTATATTTATGCTCTAAAAATCTCAGTCTTGTTTGGAGTATTTTAGTCGATATAAATTGAGATATAGATGTATGAGTATCGTTATATGTGCACACTAAATAAAAATGTGTCGTGTTTATATGTCGTGAATTATTGTGTCGCACACTCCAGCAGAAAAATGTGTCGTATACGAATTTGTAGCGTTCTGTCTGCTGACTATTCGTTCACCGTTTTATTATGCACACATGGTCATATATAAGCAACGTGGTTTAACATAGAAAAAGAAATTTCAAATTATTTTTATTTTCTATATTATTTCTCGATTATTTTTTTTTATCAAGAAAATGCCAACCTCGATCTATGATCGTGAGAGGACTACTCTGAAGCGGTCTGATACAAATCAGATCAACTCGAGATTGGACAGATCCCAGGATCTGACCAGCTTGAATTTTCAGAATAGGAATAATTAAATGGAATTAAATTGAAAAAAAAACATCGAAATATGATTTTCCAAAAGGACCAATAGAAAATGTGTCGCATGTGTCGTGGTCCTGCTGGAGAAAATGTGTCGCAGTGAGCTCCTTGTGTCGCACTCTAATGTGTCGTACAATGTGTCGCAAAACACGACACTTGCGACACATTTTAAATTAGCATGTATAAAAGGTTTCATAAAGTGACAAACTCGCAAACCTTCTATAAGTCTCCGATAATACTTTTTTTTAGAATGTACGACATAAATTGATTTACCTTTGTCTTCCTCTGATTGAGAAAGAAAGAAGCTGATTGTTGGCAATATCTTTATATTTCCTTTAAGTTCTCGTGTTAAATGTATTGATAATGTCCAGGTCAAAAAAGCACGATCGTAAACGATCGTATACGACGAAATACGTCTAGAAACGGTCATCATATACGACGATCGTATACGATGGACGTACACGATGCCATACGTTCAAATACGATCAACGTATACATTGCAAATAAACGACTGTTGTGCACGATTGTAGTATACGACCGTATATGGTCGTAACTTAGTCGTAGGTTTCCACATCGAGAAATCATATAGAGAGATCGGTGATGAATTTTTGTATGATTCTATCAGCTCTTACAAACTATTGCATATGATCATACGAGATCATACGGAAAATCATACGAAAAATTGTTGTCTCAGAAATCTGATGTCAAGTCTTACATCAAGTTTCTTATATGCTCCGGCAATAAAATCTTGTATGATTCTTTGAAATCGTCAAGTAAGATTATAAGTTATTTCTGTAACAATATGCGAGTTCATGACGTATATGAATTACAAAATAATTCAAAATTTCTATATTAAATATTTATAGAAGTATATGCGTGTAATTATAAGAAGTTTATTCTCATATACCAAAGTCTAGCAGGATCTCAGGATCTACCAGGACCTTTAGGATCTACCAGAGGCTACTAGGGTTTTGCGGTACCCCCATCGAAGGAGACGTGATGTAAGGCATTTCGTCGCACCCACACCAAGAGACAGATGATGTAAGTTGTTTCGTGGCACCCACATCGAGACCGTAGTAGACCCTAGTAAACCCCAGCAGATCCTAGAGATCCTGGTAGATCCTGGAGGTCCTGATAGATACTGGTAGAGAATAAAAAATTTCGAATTATTTTATAATTCAATTTTTTTGAATTACTTTGTAATTCATTTCCATCATCCAGTGCAATATGCTTTATTCGTTACACCCTACCTGCCCAAGTAAGCAAAAAATTATGCATGACGGCCGACATGACTAGTCCGAAATGTCCGCAATACCCGTCAGGTCTAGTCTGAAACGTCTTGCACATCCGACATGACTAGTCACCTTTAGGAGAAATCTCCTTCGAACACATCTGGACTAGTCTAGAATGTCTTCCAACCCCGTCATGCCTGGTCCGTTTTGTCCAGTGAACCCGTCCAAACTAGTCCGCGTTTTAAAAAAAGAAGATAAACGGTGAATTCGAACATCCAACCCGACAGTATTCGAAACCTGACGATCATCCTGACGGGAGACTAGGACACTGGAATGAACTGACGCCCATTTACATTCTAAAATACAAAATTGATTCCTTTCCATCCCGTAAACAATCAGAAACCAGTCGATGTCACACGAGTTTAACTAGTCTGGAACATCTTCGATAGTAGTTAGGACTATACCGACGCGTCGTCTTCACTCGCCAAGACTAGTCCTTTTCTAAAGAGTGTCATTCATCCTGGTCCAGACTAGTCTGAAAGACTCTAATCAAGTCACTTTCTTTAGACTAAATTATCCTCTAAAGTCGTTTAAACTGATGAATAATGGAAAGAAAAGAAGTAGTATGTAGAAAAAATTTTCAACATCTATATCATTTGTTAATAATGATCGATGGATAATCATATGCATTTAGAATCTGGACTAGATAACAGAATAGCAGCCGTTTTATTGCCTATAGTGTACTCAGATTTTCGTAAATTGATAACTAAGCATGATCTATTGTATTATGATTATGGAGATTAATAACATGCATTGTTATCCTGTATTAAAATTATGTCGATTGTCACTAGTATTATTAGGTTTTTTCTCTTTCTAGAACGACAATCAGAAAGTCTGTCATAGCCAATAGTGAAATCAAAGATAGATAGTATACTTTGTGCATTCCTATCTGCCTTGATATATATTATTATATTTTGTATCTTCATATATTGAAAATATATAAGAGTATATCAAAACATTAAAAAGTGGAAGTAGCTATAAAAAACAATAGTTATCAAGCAACAAGGAGTGCTAACTTATATTTTTTAAAATTATTAGATGTACCAAATTTAAAAAAAGAGCTAAAAAATAATTGAAATCTTTTTGTACCATAATTGCTGCTTTAAATATCAGTTCTAATAAATTTTTAAATTTAAAAGTAGATTTAATTGAAACAAAATTAATTTAATACTTAGCTGAAGACACGATGATTTAAATTTTCAGGTAAACTAAATCATGATATGAAAAATCGAGTTTCTTTTCAATATAAATTGTTTTTTATTTTTGCATTTAAAATTAATTTTTTTAGCATAACTAATTATTCCTACTTAATAGTAATAAAAAATATTTATCCAAAAAATATAAATTTTTTTGACTTTGTTTTATCTAGTGTTGTTTAATTAATGACCTATTTTGTAAACGATAATTTTTTACTTAAATGCGAACATCAAAAACGTGGAATAAAATTATATTAAATAGCATCTTAGAATGATTATGTATGTGTAGAGTTGATCTGCTGATCATATGACTCAATGGTCTAAACGATGGGTAAGTAACACATTGTATGCATGTTCGAATCTAACGTTCATCTTTACACATTTTCATTTAGACTAGTCCGAACTCGTCCACTACACAAGACTACAACTTGTTCTATGTGGTGTCGCTGTTACCCGTCCTGACTAATCTTTTTCTTAAAAAGTCCTCCTACAGGACTAGTCCACCTATTAGTGATTCTTACTAGTCCTAGACGGGTCGTTTTAGTGAAACAGACTAGACATGTCAGAGCCAATGACGCCCATCAGTAACATAGTCTGGACGGGTATTATGGGCGACAACTTTTTCCAGACTAGTCATGGTATAGTCCGATTTGAGAAAAAGACTATACAGGACGTCCCGTCAGGACTAGATATGAGACTAGTCTTTTTACCCGTCCTTTGCTCGCCTGGGTGCATCTAACTATTCTAATTTAAGTTAACTTCACATAAGCAAGAACAATCTAATTAGTAAACGTAATACAGACGTACCGACAAAGGGTGTGGGTGTTGGTGTTAATAAATGTAATGGCTCTGCCTTCCCCCACATCCACACCCCACACCCACACCCCACACCTACACCCTTTAGTACGTAAATAGTGAATATCTTGTGGTAGCTAACCAATCAAGAAACCTATGAGTTCGATAAACCAATCAGCTTTTGATCTTTTCTTCACTGTTGGCTTCACGACATAGTAATAGAGGAAGAAACTAAATGATTTTGCTTCAGATTTCTTCAAAAAAACTAGTGTTTTCCTCTGCATTTCAGTTCGGAAAGAATCATATATATAATCGCATTACAGTACTGTGATAATGAACCATATTCGTTTTTCTCTTCATCCTGTATGAATATATAA